TAAAATAATCCCATTTTATATTTCATAGATTTATATGACAATTTGTAAACAAGTCTCACCAGAATTAGCAATCAAGAACTTTAATATAATTTAAATACCATGGATTATCTGTAAGTCTCAAAAAATTATATACATTTATTGATTTTATTTCGCAATTATTGAAATTTAAATATGCAGGTAATGGCTTGATGCATAAATAAAAGATATAGAAAAAAAAATTACAACACAAAGTTAATCAATTCGATATCCACTCAAATATTAAATAATTTTAATATTGATTATACTATATTATATAAAGTTGAATATTGCCAGATAATTATAAAGTATTGTTTGCTATTTTTTCATATAGGTACTTTAGAATGTATTACTATACTCTATCCCTACAAATAAAAATACCTGGCCCTCACTTCATATAATGTCCTTTTCGAAAAAGTAAATTGTCTCGATTATGGCATACTTGCAAAGATAGTTTGCTGCTATATTCTATGCAACAATCTACAACTCCAACAAAGCTCCTGTATCCATTACCTGGCGTATGTTCATCAAAATCATAAAGAGGTGCAATCTATAAACAATTATATATAAGTAAGTAATAATAACTATATAATATCACAGTCAAATTGTTATATTATTTATTATTTAATAGCTATGTTATATTCATATATTACTTCTCTAATTTCTGAAACTAGTGGCAATATTGATTCTATGTGGCATCTTAGGCCATGAAAAGCTTCATGAAGTCTCAGGCCATATTCACTTTCATCATTGACAAAGAATTCTTCATTATCTAAACATAACTTGCTTAAATTCATATAAATATCACTTCTATTTCCATTACATGTGCTAGCTTCTTTAGAATCACTTGTTGTATCCATTGTAATTTGCTATTGAGTAAATTATGTATGACTATTAAAATATTGAACTTGAAACCATGACTGTCACTTAATTAAGTACATATTGATATTAGCATATTTAACTTTAATCGACGTGTCTGGTTACTACATTACATTTTTAATTAAATTTTCTAAAAATCACATGTTTAAAACTAATTGCAAATTAATACACTAAGAATTTTGATTAGTAAGACCAGTTGTCACTTCATATTTTTGTGAATAGTTGTCAAAAAGTCATAATCGTTAATGTTGGGAACCGTGGACTGCGTGTACTCCAAGAAGCGAATTTTAAATTTAAATGATTTTTGGAATTTGGAATATTATGTACGTCTAAATTGGAGAAAAAAAAACGAAATACATTTAAAATAGGTTTTTATTTACATAACAAGATTATTAAGTTAGACCAGAATGGCAAAATAGAAAAATATAATAATAGACATGCAAATTATTGACATCTCTTTAAAAATAAACTTAATATAATTATAACATATTTTCTAATAAATTAAATATTGGAAAGCAATCCAATAATAAATCTGTAAAAATGTCAAAATATATACATAATAGTGTTTCTGCTTACATCATGAAAACAAATTTAAAAATTAGATATCAACTGTTTAGTGTTACAAAAGAAACATTTTATTTGTGTCATCATAATTAGACTTCATTCACGTTTTGCATTAAGATGGAATATTTTACATTTTCTTGTAAATAATCCTAAATTTTAATGATCCTAACATTAACCTTTGATATTTATCAATGGCAACAAGCTCAATTCTATTAAGTACCAAGAATATCATACTATAAATTCTAATATTTGACATTGTAACAAAAAATAAGCAGTAAAAACCAAAACATGAGCTGTATGCTAAGGCTAATAACAGAATCATTAATATGTGCCCTCGATATATACATAATTATGTGATAAATAGCAATGAAAGTTCAAGCTAATGAGATGCTTCTGTGCGCTGATCTTGAATGGTGTAATTAATTATAATTACAGCTGAACTGGTAATACATTTTAATAACAAGTTTTAACAAAATACACCATTATAATAAGGTGAAAAAGCACAAAAATATAGTACAATAAAGTAACAATAAATTTACACACAAATAATTAAAGATCTTACATTTCATAGTAAAAACAATAATTAAAAATAAAAGCTATTTTAAGCTCAACTTATACTTTTTCTCTAAAATTAAATATTAAACTTTTAAGCATTATCACAATTTTATGAAAAGAATTATAATTTTCTATTTAATTTGATGCTATATAAAATTATAGTAATTAATAAATTAAGCAAAACTTTCTATGTTTCTTTGCTCCTAAAGAATGTGGTTACAACACATTCCTTTAAAGTAAATTTTTATAATTTAATTATTAATAACATTTGGTATCATATTTTTTCATAATAAAATGAAATAAAATGGCTATACTTTACAAAATAACTCAAGAACAGAATTAATAAATATTCTTTATATTATTATATCAATTCTTTCTTTACTAACTGCTGGTCAAAATGTGCTTTATCTATAATATTCATTATATAAAATCTTTTATTACAAACTTTGTATATATAGACTAAATTCTCCTCAACTTTTTCTTCACATTGGTCCAAACTAATAACTGCCACAAAAGTGACTTACCCTTGCTATGAACCATGCTGCAGACTATCCAGGGATCCAGGTTGAGATAGTTGTGCGCGCAAAATATCATTATCTCGCTTTAATTGATTAATTTGTTTTTGACTTTTTTCTAATTCCATAATTTTCTTTTCCTGCTCCTTAAGGCACTCTTGTAAACTGTAATGTTTAATTTAAAATAATTATAAAAGTATTAAAAATAAATAATAAATTTTTAAATTGAAATATGCAGTACAAGTTTTAAATAAAGCAATTAATACAATTTATTCTTTATCATTTTCCCTGCATGTACTTTCTACAATAGTGATAAAATTCTATTCAAGTTTCTCCTCAAACTTGCAACATGCAACACTGTGAACCTTCATTTACAATAATGAAGACAATAAGAAATTAATTTAATTTATGTGAATGTATTATGTAGTCATGACCAGCCAAAATCAAAGAAATTTTGAAAAATAATGTTAATATATATTTTGTATAAAAACCTTTGATTTGAGTCTCGTAACTCTGTTATATATTCACAAGCTTTAGCTAGAATTCCTCCTTTTGATTGGCTTTCTATTGATTCTAATTTTCCATTTCCATTATGGCATCCTTCAGATATAATTTTTGCTAATTTTGTAATCCAATTGTTGATTTTATCCCTTCTTCTCCTTTCAACCTCATTATGTGTAGCTCTTCTTCTATCATCCCTCTTAAAAACAGATTAAAAAGTAAATTACATTTGTATAGCAAATATATAAAAAGTGCATTCATCTTACACACTTTTTTTATACCATGCGTAACTTGAACAATTCTTCCAGATTCTGCTAGACGTGGCGCAAGGGATCTTGTTTGGGCTGCAAATACATCTGTTCCTCCAATTACATAATATTGCCCTGAAAAATATATAAAATAAGTTCTGATGATAATAGTAAGTGAATTGTAACGGAAACTCAAATTTACGGTAAGTTGTAGTAGTTTTGTGAAAAAAGGAATTTGTACATAAACAGGATAACACATTCCTTTTATTCTTAGCTTATTAATGTATATTAAAATAAATATTACACAAAAAATTTTATACATAGGTTTTACATTAAGCATTCGTAAAAGATCTTTAGATAGTATTTTATGATAACTAAATATTTAAATTTGAATTGTGGTTTTAGTTATTATACAGCTTATTTATGAAGAAAAAAAGCAAATAAAAAATATAATGTGAAAAATATTGTTGTTAGTCTATACAAACATATATTTACCATCAATTGGTGAAGCGATCATTGCTTGCTGAGAGCCATTTGGAGAATAGGAAGGACCCGCTGAAATCAAGGGATCCATACTGTCTTCTGTTTTTACTTCTATAACACTATAAGCCAGTGATCCTATATTTAATTAGATATTGAGTAACTTCGTAGAAATAAATAGTAAGAAATTATTGTATACCATTGACAACAACCGCAAACTGTCAGTTTGACATTAGACATTTAAAAAAAAAATCTTACCCGAACTTTCATCTATTACTCCAAGAATTTCTTCACCATCACCACTAAAACGAATTATTAAAAAGGATTATGTTATTAATAAAACATAGTAAGGTCAAATTCTACTTGTGTTTTCAACTTTAAATTAAATCCAATGACCTTCATATCTATTAGCATTTTATTATATAATGACCCGAAAACATTAAAAAAGGACAATACTCAAATTATTTACAGTATTCTCACCTGTTGTCGAGAGAATATTCTATTTTTTCCATAATAATAAATTAGTAATCATAAATATTTCAAATTAAATAGATTGATCACGGGGACAAATAAACAGGTCATGTGATGCCCCCAGTCGAAATGTTACAAATGGCGGAAAGATACTGATACCATTTGTGACCAATCAGGTAGTAGAAGATCAAATAGTGATATAAACAAGTCAAAAGCGCGAACTTTGAATTATTAATAGTTTATTTATATTGAATTTGAATTGCAGTTCACCAGTGCCATTTAAGATGAGGCTAAAAGCTTAAATAGATGAATGTGAAAATTGTCAAATTAAATATTTACTTTAGTCTTTTACTTTTTATTTAATTTCTTTACATATGTTGTTATTAAATTTATATAAAGATTTATGATTAGTTGTATATGACACCAGGAATAATCACTGATGATGTATCACAAATAGCATTCCATAAAAAATGTTAAGAGCCTTATATGCCGATATTACATAACTAATTATTGCACAAATATTATATATTCAACTTGTGTATGCAATATAAAGTTTTAAATTTATACAAGTGTAATTATTCATCTACTGTAATTTGCTACAATTATCATAAATGACTATAAGGCTCTTATATGAATACATAAAATATATAATTAATCAAGTATACACATAACATCACTTTAATAACATACAATAATCTAAATAATAAAATATTCCTTAAGTAGTTTAACGAGTATAATAAACTCTATAATATAATGTTTTGCTTCTCCACATACTGTAAGAATTATCAAATTTTAATAAATAAACACCTTCTCCAGGGTACTGATGTGAGCCAGCATAAACTTCTAGATGACAATCTCTACGATATACAGGCACAATTTCTGTAATAGGTGGCTTTGAGATTCCTGTAAGTGGAGCAACTGTAGATTGTGGACCGCACTCCAAATCTTCAGGAAGAGTTAATTCTATTAAGAAATTATGATAAAATCCATTAATTAATGCATACAATTCAATTATTCATGTTAAATATTTTTTTAAATTTACCTTCATCATCCTCCAATTCATCTTCATCTTCACTCTCAGTTATATGGACAGTAACCTAATAAAAAATTAAATAGCATATAAGACTATAGAAAAAAACTTTTATATAATGGTTTTTATCCATTATATTTATGAATAGAATAAATTTTTATTTGTATGAATATTTATGCAAAACTCAATTAATTAAAATGCACATAAAACAAACCTGTGTGGTAGGGCTCTTTGACCATTCAAAGTACAATCCGAAGCCTATGTCATGATTTTCTGTGGCAAATTCCCAATAAAGTTGTGAGCCTCCCTCATGCGTTGGAACACTAAAAATATGTTGATTAAAAATAAATTAAAATGTTAAACCATATGTCATTTTGTATGTATATCTTGTTCATTCTTTTTTAGGTTACAAAAGGCGTATATGAATAATAAAAATTATGAAAACTTATACTAACCGAACTGTAACTGTTTCACCATGGCCAATTCTGATGACTCCGTCACCTTCACCACTACTAACAGCAGCTTTAAATGCTGACATATCTTGCCTTGTCCACATATTTGCAATAGCTATAACATATTCGCCTAAAATTTTAAGATTAATTATATATATATATATATATATATATATATATATATATATATAAGAATAACATAAGAAAATTTGGTTATCTATACCTTGTGATTCACAATCACTTTCATAATTCTCACTGTCATGTCTAACTTTGATGCCTTGTGAATCAATATTACTAATTTCAGATACTGTTTCAGCTGTGTCTTTGCTCAGATCTGGTTTATCTGTTTCGCATACTTCAGTTGAATTACTCTTAGATTTATCTATTTCTGATGGGTCTTCCTTTTTAATATTTTGATTAACTAAATATCCATAATGTAGTTGTTGCATATACTGATTATAATGCTGATCTTGTAGCTGTCGAATGAGAACTGCCTGTTCATCAGGACTATTTGGAAACTGCTGTTCTGCATAAGCTTTGAATTGGTAAAATGACTGCTCGTTTAGCAAATCTTTTATATTCCGACTGTAATTAAATAAAACTTAAAATATAATTCATTCATGAAAAATATAAAAACTATAAATCCTTATATTTAAAAAAATATATAAGTCTTTAAATTTAAATTATAAAAACTAATATATTGTAGAAATAGTAAGTAAAAAATATTCTATTAAACTAAATTTACATATCAAAAATCTATGCTTTTAATAGGTTTAAGAACAGAAAATATATCACATATTACTCATTACTCACAAAATAAAAAATAACCAAAATACAATCCTGCAATTACCTTTGAAGTTCTTTATTTATATCGTCCTGTTGTTTCATTTTTTGAACAGTAATAATTGGTTGGTTCACATTTATAAGTCTAAAAATAAAATTATATTTTTTGGATTTGAAATCTTAAATTTTTTTTTTTTAAAAAAAAAACAACTTACTCAGTTTTACTTTTCTCAACTTTTGCCTTTTTAATAGCCTCAATATAAGGTTTGAATAGTGGACACAATCTGTAACACAACAACACAAAATAGTTCAAGGTAATTAAAATCAGAACTATTGTTAAATTATGCATTACCTATCTAAAAGATCAATAAATCCTTCCATAGATTGCGCCTTGGATAAGTTTCCTAATTGCATCCAGGCTAGCCTTCTATCGCGCCCAATAACATCAAGGACACCCAATGAAGGTAATTCTGTAGCATCAAATTGTCCATGTTTAGCTTGCTGTGTGAAAGCTATTAATTTTAGTTTATCGTCATAACTTAGATGTAGCGCTTTGCCTTCTTTCTCTGAAATTAATAAATTTTTAGATTACCGGCTCAATAAAACTAATAACATGTAACAATACCTTTATAAAATTCTACGGCTAGCCTATACAATTCTTTTAAAGGAAAATCCCATTTATTTCCTATGTTTTCCAAATCATTAGCATCGTCAATATCTAATTTGTTAATTCCAATTTCTAAATTTTGCGTCAAATCCATGATTTGTGCAAAAAAAGTCTAAAATTTTATACGTCAACTACCATGTTTTGCCACACGTCAAATTACTGTCAAAGCATACAACAACAGGATTGCAAACATTAGAACATCGAATTCATAAACAAATTTCAATCTTTCTAGCGGATAATTCAAATTGTGGGCTAATGGGAATAAATTTCTGAAAAAGTAAAATAACGATATATTATATCCAATATATTAAACTGTTATATTATTCAATAGCCAATATACATTATTAGTTGTATCAAAGTTTATATTATCCATGATATCGCTTTCTGTGCAACTATTTTGAACTTGTTCTTCATTTTGCTCAATATGAATTTTCGTTTTCTTGCCTTTCTTTTTTGATTTCTTGGGTTTATTATCATTTAAAATGCATTCTAAAAATCCTCCTATAATATTAAGTAGTATTTTATAATTGTTGAATAATAGTGGTGAATCTACTAACAATAGTTCTACATATGCCAATATATTTGTTCTAGACTTTAGATGATTAAAAGCATTATAAATAAAAGTTCCATTATATAGCTCATGTATCTTACATTGTGGCATTGGATGACCTAACACTGAGTTTAAAACATTTAATTGTAGTACCACATTTTGAAACATAGAAAATACATGTACAGTTTTTCTGGAAAATAATTTGTTACTGCTCTTTAGTTTTTCATCAACTTTAAAATAATCTACCATTTTTAAAGCACATTTATAGCATTCTTTCTTTGAAATAGAATCTAATGAGTTGAATTCATCAGTATTAAAATTTCTTGCTTCAACTGTGTCATTTTCAAGCTTATTGAGAATCTTTTCTAATTTTATATTCGATCTACATGAATCAATGACAGGATTTATAAATTGTAAATAAATCAAACACAAAATTATACTGTGAATGTGAACTGGCAATAATGTTGGTCCATCAATATTTCTACCGAACCAAAATATTGATAGGATATACAAATGTAAATTTTTGGGAATTGAGTTTAATATATCAAAAGGCTGCTCTTGGATCGTTTCTTCAAAAAATGTTATAAACAAATCAGTCGCAGGGTAAAAGTTATTCAACACATCAAATTTGTAAAACTTAACATTTGTAAATAAATCACCAACATTTATCTTCTGATTAGCAATGTGATTATGATCATTGCGGCCTACATATGTAAATTCCTCTGAGCCAGGGCAAATGATTTTAAAAATATAAGCTAAAATAGGAAACATAATACTATTACAATCTTTAAAATTCAAATCTTCTATTTGAGGATTAGAGTAAACTGTTTTACTGATTATAAAATCCATAATAAAACTTGGAAAAAGCCCTTTATTGTATAAAAATCTGAACCATATAGGAACATCCATTATATTGTGTAATATCATATCTCCGTTATATGAATTTCTTCCATTATTCATATAAAGCTTTTCTAGACAATTTAAAAATTCTGTGTCATTGATTTTTGATAAGCTTAACTCAATGTTTTTTTGCGAGACCATAAATTGTTTAATTCCCAGAAGTAAACTAGCATTGGTTTTATGGTCTGCATATACATTAACATTTTCAAGTATTTGATTTAAAATTTTAGATCGTTCTGATAATTTCAATCTACTCAATATTTTTTCCACAGCAGAGTCATATGTTTCATTTCTTAACCATTGCAATAAAGCATTTATGGTTCTTTGTTGATCAGAAATTTTTTGTTTAGTTTTTGCTAGTTTAAGGTGGGCATAAAAGTTTTTAAATGTGCTTTTATTTATGTAATCATTTCCTAATAAAGTAGCTAGCAATGGTAACATTTCTTTTTTTAGACCACCAAAATAATTGAGAAAATTATCTATTTTGTAGATTTTGCAAAAGATATAAGTGTATCCTTTTTCAGATATAGTGAGTTTCTGATCAAATGAAGTGAATGGAATATATTCGACATCATATATATAAAAATCCGAGTCATTGCTCAAAACAGGGCATGATATTTCTCTAGCAACAATTGATATTTCATCATCTGCCTCAAAATCACATTGTATAAAAGATATTCCCATATCCCTTAAAACATTTTTGAAAACATCTCTCATCATTAAAGGAAAAATTTGTAACAATTTTTGATTGGCAGGGCATAATATTGAAGCTGCCTGTTGTTTGGCTATAAGTCTACTATAAACAGTCTTTTTCTTTCTTGTTTCATAAGCTCCATCAAACAGAACAAAAGACCGAATATTGCAAGCATTCAGCATTTCAAAGAACTTAACAACACATTTGTGGTACACATCATAGTCTCCACCGAATCCAGAATTGCACCTTGAAACATATTTGTACAATTGAGCGGCTAAATTGTTCCCATCGATTACTAAATTGCAATCGTGCAGTTCAAATTCTTCAAAGTACTGATCAGCATTTTTTGCAATAAATGTAGTTAAACCTCTAACACCCATTGTTCGATATTTTTCTTCACTTCACCTAATTAATATAATTTGGTCAATTACAATTAATGTTTTACTGATATGTACTCATAATTTGTCTGAGTTTAATTGTCCAATTTTTTTCATTAATTTCTATACAATATTTTTCAAATAGAAAGTTTATCAAATATCAAATAATAAAATAAACAATAAAAGTAAGTCTACAGATCATAACCTAGCTTCTTTGACATTTTCCAAACACGTTTTTATTTTCGGTGATAGCGTCTAGACAATATAATAATTTCTAATTCTACGTCTAAGTTCTATATTGAAGATTGAAGCGTTGATGAAAAAACAGATTACACATAAGATTCTATAGATATGAAAAACTGATTACCTGCATTCATCATTATTTTTAAAAATATATGTAGTAAAATTACTCACAATGAAAATGTAATTTGCTTAATTTATATTCTGAAGCTTGCGCCTCCCAATTGTTTTCAAGTCCCAAAAAGATAGTGCACGTGTATAATATATTTATAAAAGGCTAAAACATAAAATTATTATTTAACATTATTTGTTAAATCATTAGTCTGAGACCCCAGAAAATACGACTACGTTTTGTTTTTCAGTATCAGTTACGGTTACGATAAACTGGCATTTTGAAAAATAGATCACTTTCGAATATTTTCAATATTTTCCAGTGAAGAACGTGTTACATGAAGATGAAAATGTGTTCTAAGAAGACAATTTAAATTGTTTAAATTATTTAAATACCAAGGTGGTGCTAGTAATTTGATATGGCAGCTATTGAGCCCACATGTTTTCATTAAAATCAAATATATTAATGAAATATTTTAATATAGTTAATTTTTTTTTTAAATCACATTAATTTATAATTACAATAATGTGGTAATCGCATATTTGACATAATGATTTGGCATAATTCTACAATGATTTACATAAGAAAAATAAATCTGATAAGAACGCATACCCAGCATGACGTTTCAACATCTTTATAAAATCAAAGACATTATCATAACCTATACGTGAATTCTACTCCTATTGACAACTAATTAATTGTACAAATGCGATTATTAATATAACTAATAAGTTATACAAATATCGAAAGTTATACAAATAATTCATTATTATGTTTACAAAACAAAAACATATTAACTAATTTTATTCTTAATAATATATTTTAGTCTTTTTTATCATGATTTAAAATGTTACGTTTTCTAAGAAAGTATGCACCCAAGCAAAATCGAATTTGTTTATCTCTATACCCTGTTCACAAAAAAAAGTTCACTGTTAATAATAATGAAGAATTCGTGGATAAGGTAAAATTAAGCAATTTCAATATTCCATGTTTCTTGATACTTCAAGAAGTTAACGAAATATTATTCTAAACTTAATTTTTTATTATCTAGGTGATGAATTCCAAAAGAGCCGTCATTGTCAATTTTCATGCAGAGTGGTGTGAGCCATGCAAAATTTTAACACCAAAATTATCAGAACTTTTGCAACCAAATGAAGATGTAGACTTAGCAATTGTTGATGTAGAATCACATGTAGATTTAGTACATACTTTTGAAGTTAAAGCTGTGCCTGCTGTTGTTGCTGTTAAAGATGGGCATGTTGTTGATAAATTTATAGGATTAGTGGATGCGAATATGATTGAAAATCTTATTAAAAAATTAGAGCAAAATGATCCACAAGATGAAGGCAAATAAATATTTTAAGCAATGTACAATAATTATATATTCAAGCCAAAATCTTGTTTATGAGCTAAGTTAAAAAAATCTTCAAAATCCTGCACATGATGTAAAAATATCTTAAACATGGTTATAATAAGTTACAATTTAAAACTCTCTTTTAGCCCTTAGTTTTTTTTAAAAAGGCACAATATAAATGAATGTTTTCAAATACTAATTGGGCAATAATAATCGCTAACAATATTAGTGCACATCAACGTTGACTCTGTTACGACACTGCCTAACAATGTTATTGTTTTATATCACAAAATGAATATATTTAAATACAATCTCATTGTTATAATAAAAAAATGTGCATCATTACTATTTATTTTTGTAATTCAAAAAATCGCTAGTAACTGGATAATTAAAAATGCAATAATTAATTTTACCAAGAATTAATTTGCAAAAAGCATAGTTGTAAAGTATCTATATACGTTTTGATATTTTTGACTGTATTTATATTATACTTCAAATAATTTGTATATAATAAACAATTAATAGTAATAAACATATGTATTTTAATTATGTTTTATTTACATGTAATAATAGGATAATCAATTAAAAAATTCAGTCTAATCATTTGAGCCCATTACGAAACCTAAAAGTCAAATGGAATAATCTTGTACTTGTGCTATTTGCATATTTAGCACTTTTAATCATTTAACTATATTTATCATCTCAAAAGTCATTTTCATTCCTTATCAATAAATGAATAATAATCGCAATTTTTTTTATAATTTGATTGGTTTCGTAAAAGGTTCTTGCGTTTAAGGCAACTTTGAGAGCAGGACAACCATTTCAAAAGATTCTGTTTTGTATTATGTATACATATAGTATATTTGTAATATACTATATGTATATACAGTAATATATGATATATATATATTCAATAGAATTCAAGAACAGAATCATTACATGTTATAAGTCTAATACAAAGAGATGAAATGATAAACCAACTGAGAAATTTTTGATTTTGATATTTTTGTTACTAGTACTGGGTACTAGTTGTATAAAGAATTTATAGGAATAGTCAATAGAGCATCAGATATTCATAATTGAATATAATAAGAAAATTCATACTCATAAGAAAATGCTAAATGCATTATAAATAAAAGCATATATATTAAATTTGGAGAAAAATAATGTCGATAATACACTTTTCATAAAAATAATATAATAAAAAATAATATAAACAATTTCAAGTCAAGCTATATGTATCTCTTCGAATTATTTATAAATAATTTCATCTCAAATTTATACATATATATGCAAATAGAGCCATTTGTGTACACCATTCATTTAAATCAATAGAATTCTTAAATCCCATTCAATAAAAAGAATATTAATTTGTGTTTTTACAAATGACGCATATATATACATAATAATTATAATATAGCTTATGTATTGTACATGTATTTTTATACATATGCGCAAACATACTATAATTTACATGATCACAAATATATACAATTCCTAGATTAATTTTTAATTAATTATATAACTTAATTTTAACAAAAACTGTACAAAATCCGTAATAAAATATATTGCATTATGTACATGCATGCTTAAAATATCAACGATATATATATATATATATATATATATATATATATATATATATGTAAATATATATAGATCATGTTGCCATTTTTGTGTGTGCGTAACCACTACTTATCGGTTAACTTCCTATTTTTCCTGCATATTAAAATAGGTATAAATATCTTTTATGCGGAAGATATATAATTACTGAAAAAATAAATATTTGTATACACCGTCTTACAATTAAATATAGAGAAACTATTTTAAATTCAATTATGTGTTAAATAAATATTAAAGATTGAAGCTAATATATAATGATAAGGCTTTGTGACTCTGTACTTGTTTTATATATACAAAAAGGATATATGCAATTAGTTTACAAAATAAGTATTGAATATAAAAATGGAAAAATAATTAAAACGCAGCTAAAAATTTATAATTTATAAATATATATATATATATATATATATATATATGTATATATTATAATAAGATATATATATATATATATAATATAATATATATGTATATATGTATATATATATATATATATATATATATATATATATATATATATATATATATATATATGTGTGTGCAGATATGAGCAAGCATTAAATAATTTCAAGATTTCAAAATTTTGGTGATATTTTTGGATTAATTGCTATACAATATAAATATACAGAAATTTTCTTATATTTTATAAATATGTTTGAAACACAAAATAGAACAGCGACATCACGATACGTTTTGTACAAATATTTTTAATTTGTAAAACAATTCAATTTTCGTACCATAAAAGCAAATAAATAAAAAAAATAGTTCAAATTTAGTTGATCATTCGATCTTGAAGTTTTAGTGATTTTCATCTCATATTTTTTACTATTTCATAAATAGTATATTTGAAAAAAAAAACTATACGTAAAATAACAAAACCATAATTTGCTTGGAAATATGTTTAAAGTTTTGGCCAACTAAATTAACGTAGTTGCAAGGTTTGGCGTAAAATATAAATGATGCGTTTTAATATAAATTTTAGTTGATACATCAAATTAATTCTATTCCAGTTTTAGCGACAGGAACATAGTGACCATCTATATTTATTAAAACGATGACTTTACCGCAATGCGATCTTTGTGCAGGATCGGCATGACCAGGCCGCCAGTAATGAACGATTGTACCAGTCATATCTTTCTGAGGCACCCATCGGCCCCAAGCAGAACGTCCGCCAGCTTTGCGCATTTCTTCGCAAGGCCAGACAACGTCTATGCGACGACCTAAATCTAAGCAATCGTAAACCTGCAAAACCATTTATTTAATAATATATTTCTATAGTTCTTTAATGTTTCGATTTTAAAATTTAAAAAATACTGTAAATGTAAGTTAAAAAAATTATTTTCAAACCTGCGCAGGATCTACAATTCTTGCCAAAGTATTTAATGAATCTGCATCTTTCTCAAGTTCTTCAGATACATTAATCAAGTGTGTAGGGCTTTGCTCTGGTTCTTGACCGCTACCGTGGTTTTCATCATAATCACCAGAATTCTCAGTTTCTTCACTAGAGGCACTTTGTACTTTATTAGTCACAGTAACATCAATTTCTTTAATCGCTCCACTCGGAACAATGTCAACCTGTTCGTCATCTTCTGAAATTTTATATGAGCATTATAAAGATAGTCAAAAATTGACATAAATAAAAGAAACGAAAGAAATGACATAAATAAAAAAAGTACTATCAATATATACTCTAATTAAAATGCAAACTATTAATAGAAAATACACAGATAATTGGTTTTGAGAACAATCAATAACATGCAATAATACAATTCTACTAAAAGTATACCTGAAGCTTCACTATCACTGTCCTTATCTTCATG